GTCATTGCAAATCGAACATCCTTTTGAAATTTGGACGTCGGGCAGGCGATTTCAAGGCACCGCACTTAAATATTAGCAACATATTTTTCTGAGCGGTTGTTTATTCTCTTTCAAACGAGACATAAATGTGACGACATAGTCGATCCCTTATCCACCGCTAAGAATGCCGCAATGTTTCGTTCGTTTTGCAACATGCCACAAATCGTCGAAAAAAACACCACTTCGACGGAAGCTTGCGTAATAAGGGGGTTAAAACAAGAAAACAAATGCCATGTTTAATACATATCGACCTGTTTTACTTGCGAAAGATAACGGAACATGAACTCGTTTCGTGCGACTTCGGAACCCGAAGGAACACACCAACAACGTTGAATTTACCCGCTATCTTCCAAATATGGTATATTAATTTATTCAGTTGTTTATTTAGAGTGACGTCCGCGGTCGAATGCGATTGGCTATCGATGTCAGTGCAAAGGTCATATGAATATTAAAATTAAGTGGGCGGAAGGAAAATTGTATAGGAGACAAGCTGGAGTCTCGTGTGGCGATAGCGATAACACCGGGACGAATGGTCTGGGGTACTGTTATGTAATAGCTGTGATTTTTCGAAATTATGTTTTGCTTGGTTATCCCATATATATTTAGATGGCAGGGGGTCTAATATATTTGTTTTTGGTGTTTTATTTATTTTGAGAAGACTATCTTTTATTGCATGTATGGACAATGTTATTAAACAATGGTCTGAGATTAATGAGAGACCATGTACTTTAAAGTAATTAATTTTATCAAATAATGGTTTAGAAGTAATAGCAAAGTCAATGGTACTGCTACCTCTTGGTGTGTGGCATGTGTATTTACCTATTGAATCACCCACACTTCTACCGTTTAAAATGATTAGGTTGCAGTCAATGCATAATTGAATTAGTTTCCTGCCGAATTTGTTTACACTGTATGATGAGTGGACATCCATGTATTAAAGTAAAGTAAAGTAAGTAAATCTTTATTGCTATCGCATCCCATTTGAGATCTTGACATAAAATACAATAAAGTCAAAAACATGTAATAATAAAAGGAAATACTAATAATACTGTAAATGAATAAAATAAATACATATCTCAAAATAAGGGATAAATTAATAATAGTAATATAACGTAAATAAATGTAAATTTGTGTTTTGTGTTTTTGTTTGAGGTATGTGGTAATGTATAGTGCATCCTGCTTCAGAGCCCATATCAACAACAATTGACTGCATTGGAGTTTTATGAGGGCAGAATTAATCTGCTAAAGACTTGTAATTGTTTTTAATCACCATTTGAAATTTATAAACTTTAATACAGATATTTTTTTTTATAAAACAAATTCACGCTTTCGTGAAATTCATTAATTACTATAATTTATTTTTTTACATATTCAATAATTTCCAAACGAAATAGAGAAAATACGTTATGGAAGTCCTCTGTGTACTCACCTTGGTCGTCGTGTTGCTCTTTCCCTGGTTTCCCTTGGTTCCGAACTGCTGCTGTTGGTTGCTTTGCCATTGGCCTTGACTGTTAAATATCTGATGTTGACGGTGCTGTTGCCCGGATGGACATCCACCACGAAAAGGACCATTACTATGTGAGTGTGGATAGTTTCCCTGTGGTCTTGGACAAAATCGTGGTGGGAAAAAGTTTCCACGGTTCGGACCTCTCGGATGCTGATAACCAGAAGCAGGGCTGAAAGCTCTTGGAGGAAACTGCCAGTGTTGTTGAGGAGAGCTATAACGTTGTCCCGAACTGGCAGCCCATTGCGGCGAGTCTATGCCTTCAGAATGAGTGAATGTCGATGGTTGAGGTTGTTGTGCTCGTGGAGATTGTTGTTGATTAAAATTTGGAGGCGGAAAAACATACGCCATGATTCCAACTTTGAGAACATGTGCTTGGGGGTCATAGTTCAGGTCAGGTCATTGTTATTCATTGTGTTGCCACAGATGGCGCTCTCTCATACTGTGCGAGCGATTCTTTTTTTACAAAATAATCCTCAACCACAGTCCCTCAACGAAGGACTGTGCCTCAACGAAACTTAGAAACATTACATATAAATTTTCAAACCCTAAAATTATGTCTATTGTAACCAACAACCAGTTTGACGCTACTATAGTGTCATGCAGGAGTGTGTACTAATTAGGTAGATTGTCACTGGTAAAAGTTATTGAAAACATTGTGCGCAATTTTGAGCAATAATATCAACGTGCTTCTGTATTCTCCATGAATTTCGTAACTTACCATAATAACGTTAAAGAAAAAAAATTGTGGTTACTTAATAGTTTTTGGGACTCAAAAACGTGATTCAAAAACACTTTTTCACCAGTTTTCGACCAATTTTTGTCAGCTCGTACCGATAGAACCAGTCAATTTAGAAATACCATGTTGGCTGTCGGAAAGCATTTTGGCATCTCGGATGCCATTTGACGGAATATTGATGTAAATGTGAAAATATTTTTCAACCAACCGTGTCATGCAACTCCACGGATGTCCGCAACTACTATGAATGCTTATTGATCATACGACGAAAAAAGCGAATCAGCGATTCGATACATTGTCAGATAATTTAGATTCAAAATAATTCAATTCATACCACCTGACATTGAAATTATTTATTAACATTAGACAGTCTCAGATAAATACGTGACGCATATTTGTTCAAATCTGTGAATCATCTTTGTTCGTAATATTTGATTACCAGAATCAACAATGTTCGCTATCGAGATTCACGCATAGAACACAGAACGCGCGTATATATAGTAGCTTTATCGCAGTGCAGCATGGGTAAACATGAGCCATTTTGTAAATGACAGTTTCTCATAGGTCAAGACACAGTCCCTCAACGCAATGACCCACTACTTAATCTAAATATAAAAACAATATTTGGTGAGTGTTATACAAGCAAAATACTGACATGTTTTATTTGAAACAAGAATGTATTGAGCATTCACCAAAATTGCCATATTTATTATGTAATCATAGTCCTTTGCAAATATTTAGTATGTAATCATAATCCTTTGCACATATTTATTATGTAATCATAGTCCTTTGCACATATTTATTATGTAATCATAGTTCTTCGCCCATATTTATTATGTAATCGTAGTCTTTTGCCCATATTTATTATGTAATCATAGTCCTTTGCACATATTTATTATGTAATCTTAGTCCTTTGCCCATATTTATTATGTAATCATAGTCCTTTGCCCATATTTATTATGTAATCATAGTTCTTTGCACATATTTATTATGTAATCATAGTCTTTTGCCCATATTTATTATTTAATCATAGTCCTTTGCCCATATTTATTATGTAATCATAATCCTTTGCACGTATTTATTATGTAATCTTAGTCCTTTGCCCATATTTATTATGTAATCTTAGTACTTTGCCCATATTTATTATGTAATCATAGTTCTTTGCCCATATTTATTATGTAATCATA